AAACATGGATCTCAAGCATCATGTGTAGTTTGATCTACTTCTGGCAGGGAACTGGGTTTGATGACTCATAAAATCATATCCACCTTTGAAGCTTATGTTATGTTTGTGGTATATGTCAGAAGAAAATGAACAGCTGCCTTTTCTGTATCCTAATTCTCCATTCCTTACTTCTCACCCTGTCTTGTCCATATACTATAGACTGTAAGGACCAAACTACATGATGGGTAACGTTTTTGGCCTTAAAAAGCAGTGGAGGAGTCAGCAATTAGGGGCCGTTGTGCTGGAGAGTGAAAGGTTTCCTCCCTTGCTCAGTTTCTCCCTAGAAAATACTCCTCAATGTGCTTTAAGTCCTAGTAGACAAAAGAGACAGCCCCCCACTATACTCGTCCTCACCCTGCGAGCTAATTCATGCACTAGGGAATCCAATCATGACTCACCAACATTATATGCAGATTGGTCCCAAAGTATCTGAGCAGGGATTATATTATTGCTACATTTTGTACAAAGAAACTGGGTTTTAAACACCTATTAGACAGTACTAATAGGCATTTGAAGACCATTATCCCGTGCTCCCTTCTTGACATCCATAACAGAATTAACCTTTCCTCCAATGCTCCCTCTCCTTTGCTTGGCAAAACAACCTCTAATGTGAGAGTTCTTGCGGACAAAGGTGCCAGATAATTAGGCCTGCCCTATGGTTCGACTGTCTAGGTTCTGTATGGATTCTGGGCACGCCATTTGGTGCCCATCTAGGCCATAAGTTGGTCTGTATTTGCAGCTTTTATTTTAAAACTTTTAGTCTCTTGCCGTTGTGGATCAAGATGTACAAGGAGAAATATTCAAGCAGTCTTCTGTCCAATTATCTAACGAGAAACAAGCCCAGTCTTGCCTTCCATTGTTCTAGCCATTGAGGGAAGGCACAACTATAATCAGCATGCTTGCTACATTTCTGTTGGATGAGCTTTGCCACTGCTTGAGAAGAAAGAATGAGCAAATCCTGGCATGAACAAGAACGATCAGGTCCACAGATGCTTCCTCTAATCTTTCACCAACATGGGTCCCGTTCACACGAGGGGATTTGGGCCGGGAGCGGGATGGTTCGGGGGCGGAGCAAATGGGCGCGATCACACCACAACATCTGGGAAGCGTAGTGCTTCCATCCCCGAACCGGCCCTTCCACGCGAAACCCCGCATCAAGTTGGAACCACCTACCGAGGTGGTTCATCGCAAAGGTGCGCCGCAAGCCGGGCGTCGGATCGCCGGCGCGTCCTTGCGCCGGGGCATCCCTGGCTCCTAGCCGAACTGCGCATGCTCCGACATGTGCAGTTTGGCTGGCTCCCCGTCAGGACTGTGTTTTCTCCCCGGCGTCTGATCGTGCCGGGGAGAAAAGGCGCTGCGGCCAGGGGATCCGTGGGATCCCGCCGCGGCATTTCAACTTTGGCGCGGCTTTTAAAAGCCATGCTTTAAGCGGCTTTTTCCCTGCCGTGTGGAAGGGGCCTTTGTTGACATACTTTCCATGAGCAGACAAAATGCAACCAGTAGACAACAGCCAGCTAATCTGCTCAAATTGCATTGTTAGCAAGCAATCTGCATAATATGCAAATTAGGCCGCCCTGTCAGTGAGTCACACCACACACATGCAGCAGTGTTTCTATTAAAACTTGGAACAATTCAAACAGAAGCAAAATGAAGGCTGGTACCCAATGAAACAAACGTCAGAGACAGAGGCTGATTTCGCACTAGAGCTGCCTCGATGTTGCACCGCCGTTTGCCCCGATACTATTGGTCAATTTCACACCCGAAGCCGCGGGGCTGCATTTGACCCGCAGCTTCGCCCGATTTCCTCCACAGTTTTGTGATCCTCAAAAAACAGGATCACGAAACTGTGGGGGGAATCGGGCAAAGCCGCGAGTCAAAATGCAGCCCCGCAGCCTCGGGTGTGAAATTGACCAATAGTATCGGGGCAAACGGCGGCGCAACATCGAGGCAGCTCTAGTGCGAAATCAGCCAGAGTCACTGCATTTATCTTCAGGAGCTAAATCCTCTGCTTATTCTCTGTAGTCTACCTAAGGGCCTATGCAACTTTTATGAGATTCTGCAATGGAATGAATATCTATTATATATGTACATGTGCATATGGCTCTTGCTGGACCCAAAACAAGGCACGGGGAAAACAAACAAGAAATAAAATGGGATAAAGTATCTTAAATAATAAAATGAACCCTTACGCTGCTATGGAAATGTTAGCTGCAGACAGGGGACTAACGTCTGCTACCTCCTTGGCCTTTTGCAGGGCAAGTTTTTGATTGGTAGCTTCCTCCATCTCCTCTTCATCCTGCGGGGAGACAACAAGACAAGCAAGATGACATAACAAGACAAGGAAGATGACATAATTCAAACGACTCTCTTATATAAAAGAGAAGAGGACATTAGCATGCTCAAAAGCCTCCTTACAGCAAGAACACTTGCTAGGAAAAGTTTGTTGGGATTTGCAAATTCTCTCTCTATAGAACTGACATGTTTGTGTATGCATGCTGATGTCCTAGCTATTTAAGTTTAGGGACTCAATGGTAGAGTCTGCACGTATTTCCCACCAGAGTAAGGTGATAAAATGCATAATCAGTTAGTATCAGGATTCTCCGATTGGGTCATCAATAGAATGAGGATGGCCTAGTAAGCAAGCATTGGATCTCAGTTTTATTGTTCTTTATTCTACTTCTCTAGTCCGTTCTCATTTGAGTTTTAGCAGCTTGAGAGTCAAAGTGTAGATGAGAGCAGTCAGAGAGAATGTCTATCTTTTGTTTCTTTAACCTCCCAGTAACCCTTTCCTCATTAGTAAAGTTTTTCTTTTAAAGCTAATATACATGTGTGTGCTGCGTTTATATACACTTTGCATAATTTAGAATACATAACAAAGTTTCTATGTAAGCCTCACATAAAAACATATGGGAGCTGCCCAGGAATGAACCAGCGCTCTTGCCCAAGTCTTGCATAAGAGCTTACATGGCAGAAGATCCTGGTGAATCATGAATGATCACTTGGGGGGGGGGGATTATGGACCCAATCAAATTATGGTGTGGCATTATTTCGAGGTGAGAGCTGCCTAGTCTTTCGAGAGCCAAAACCTGCTCTGGAATCTTATTTTGAATAAAGACTAGAAGAAAGCATCCATGTAGTAACAAGACCCCAGAGAAAGGATTAGAAAGGCCACCAAAACTTGTATTTCCTGGGTTTAGAATACAAGTTTCTGTCACTCGTAGTATCTGCAATCCAACCTTGTACTCTTTGCTGGCTCAATTTATGCCTAAACCAGAGGAAAGCTTCCCTCTCACCTCCTCCCTGTGATGGTGACTGGCCCCCCCAAATGGCCATCAGTGGGTAGTAAAAAAAAAAAGAGGGAGAAGCAGTGTGGCTTTTTAGAGTAACTGTACATTTGGAACAGGTTTTGTTCTCAAACGGCAAAGTAATTTGCTGATTATCCCCCCCCCCCAAAAAAAGACAGCTTAAATTTTGTGAGCCCAATTCTGACCCATGCCCACAGTGGGCAGCTCGACACCCCAGCAAGGATTAAACACCCGAAGCAATGCAATCATTTGTGTGATTATAATGTGACACAACAATTGAGGAAATGACCACCTGGAAGCTACAGTGGCTGCGTGTGGCTGAAAGGCAGCACAGATATATTTTAAATACATTTAAATGAATCCATGAGCAGAGAAAGCAAATGAGCCAAGCAAGAAGTAGTATTATATGCCACAAACATCTGATGCCACCTTAGGCAATGTAAGAGCATTGGTCCACACACAGTTCAATACTGTCTACTCTCAGTGACTCTGCAGCATCTCAGGCAGAGAAAGCCCCCTCAGACATTCACACCCACACTTCTGCTACTTGAGATCCTTTAACTGGACGTCCATCATGTGTTCTGCTACTGAGCCACAGCCCCTCCCATCATTCACCAGTATTTCTTCCCAGGGGTCATTTCCTGCAGGAGCGCACAGGGGCGGAGCTCCGGCAGTAAAGAGCCCAGGGGGCGGGCACATGCAACAAGCCCCACCCCCTGCTCCCAGCAGCCCTCAGTCAGAGCAAGAAGCAGCCAGGTAAGTTGCAGAGCTCCCCCCGGCCCCCCAGTCCAAAACACAGTGGCACCTTTAAGACCAAGTTTTATTCAGGTACAAGCTCTCCCTCCTCTGCGAGGACAGATCTGCACCCCCCCCCCAATAGCTAGCAATCCAAACCAGTCCAGTGGAGCCTGAGCGGTCAGTGTTGCCTTCTGACACACTTCCGGTGATGTCAGGGGGTGTGGCATATGCAAATAAATTATGCTAATGAGTTATGCTAATGAGCTCCTGCACCTCTTTTTCTACGAAATGACCCCTGTTTCTTCCAAAGAAAGCATGTTGTTCAATGGTAACAGGAATGGTCACTAATCCCAGAGTTGCAAATGCAAAGCCAGCAAGACCTAGCATAGTGATGCTGAAGGTCTTATTTCAGAATATTTGCAGAAAGACATGGTGAATCTGATAACCTAGCTCAGTTGAGGGAAGGATTTCCTAGCTGGCCTTGGCTGAACCTCTTACTTCCTTATCTATAAATGCGAACAAACAGTTCATGCCAGACAGTGGAAAACACAAACTACGTCACTTAAGCAGGAGTGGTTACAGGAGAGTCTGGGAAATAATTAGTGGTGGGCTAATGTGAAGGGTTGCTAATTAAGAGCTT